AGACACCAGCGGCACCACTAGTTCGTCGTCAGCCACATCGTAACCGGCGACGTCCCCATTGTGGAACGGATTAGATCGATAGACTGTAAATTGACAGACTACAAACATTGTTCTCTTATTTATAATATTAATTTCCAATTTTGAACTAACATGGATAACTTCATGATTATATAAGAAAATAGATGGTCGTCTCTTAAATTGAAAACAAATTACGTGGCGCCCAGGGTGGCGCCACGTTGTATGGTCGTCTCTTCCTGYATGACCACCCCTTACTTTTTTAAAACCACTATATTTTTAAAAAAAGTTTCAAAACATATCATATTTTAAACAATTTTAATTAAAATACAATATTTTTAAAATAAGTTTTATTATTAACATTATTAATAAAAAACACCCGTGTTTGGTAGCATATTTAAAAATGAATAGTTACCAATTAAATATTTAGTTTAATATAAAATAGTATTAATTTATTAATTAACCTATATATTATAAATTTTGTAGAAGTATTATTTTACAATATTATATAATTTATAATATACTATATTTTACATTTTTTTAATTTTAACAAAAAAATTTTAGTATATAAATTTTTTATCCTTTTAATATAATTTTMCATTTTAAAGTTTTGAATTCAAAATATGGAAGTACCGATGAACGGCCAAACAAGGTCGAAAACAAATATTTAGTATTGATTTTTTCTTTCCTCAAAGAAAATAAAAATAATACTTCTAACCAAGGTTTTAAATGTCGATATTGATGGAAATGTCGAGGTATTAATTTCATCCAAATATCGATAGAAATATCAGTAAAATATCGATGTTGATGGATATTTTTATAAAAATTATAAAAATTAAAAATTAAAAAAATATTTAAATTAACAAATAATCGTTTAGATAAGTTCAAAATAATTAAAAGTAATATTGAAATTTTGTTGGAATTTTTTATATTTTATCAATTATTCTGTAACATCATGGAAATGTCTATTTACCTGTTGGTTTGGTTGATATAGAATCCATAAATCCATGGATGTGTCGATGGTCATTTCTAACTTGGAAAAAGAAACCCAATCCACGAAATAGGTGATGGGTTGATTGAAGCAACTCAGAAATTCACCAAACAAATCTTCAACGCCATGTCTGTGGAAGCTCCGTTGCTTCAGAATTCAGCCATTGGGCCGCCTCTCAACCGCCATTTTCGCACCTCCCTTCCCGATCTTCCATTTCTTTCCCGTCCTCGAAACGTGAAACCAGCCCATTTCCGTACTCTCTCGCTGCCCAGCAGCCGGCGAGCTGTCTGTCGTCGGCCTGCCCTTTCGCCGGCGGCGGCGCAGTCGGAATCTCCGGTGAGAATCGCGGCCATTGTTGGCGAAGGAAGTGTTAGCCCCCTGAAATGCACCCCTTGGGAAGAAGTTATGCTTCATACAGTGAGTGCCCAAATTAGACCTTTCTTAATTTCGTACTAATTCATGTATTTAACTGTATAGTTAAATTAATATTTTATGTACCTATTTGGATAACGTAGCCCGAATCCTACTTGACATATGAAATCCTACTTGACATATGAAACTCGGCTTGGTTAGAAGCAAAAATCTACCTGCGCATCAACAAAATTAATTTATTTATTGATTATATTGTCCATTGCAATTAGAGCCTATCTAGACATAACTCGACCGGTTTAGACATATATTTTGGAGGATAGATTTTTTATTCGAATATGTCATCCGTTTGGTGGGAAAGAAAAAGGAATATTGAAAATTCGAATATCTGAAGTTGAAGCAGCAACTTGAGCGAGAGAGTTTAGAGTTAGAGTCGAAAAGAGGATTCCTCACTTCTTTCTCTTTTTAAATGCATGAGGCTTTCATTGCGAACGGCTCCTCAGCTCCAAGTGATAAAAGAAAGAATAACTCATCTCATATCCCTTTTTGGTTACCTTCCTCGTGACCGGATCCATTCGATTTCGAAAAATTAGAATCCTTAACTTTTCGCAGAATCTGCCCTTTCGATTATTAGTCGGGGTTGTGCTTGGCTGATTTTTCTYGATCTAAATGACTCGTAGGGGCGAAAGATCAGAGGTACGAATCCCAGTCCACTGGTTAAAATACCCCTGAAAGGCATGTAAAGTGAATGAGGATCACAATTTCTCCCAGAAAAAAACTGTCAATATCCTTAAAGATTTTTCTATCCCTATGGAGCCATATATACTAAATGAGAGCAAAAGAAACGTCCCTTTTTGGAAGGGAGTGTGAAGAGGCACCTCCTCTTAGTGATTTAGGAGCCAAGCTAACACCAAAAATTTGGAGAAATCTGGTTCAAATATGCAAAGTAGACTGACATGTCCATAAGATATGATCGAGATCTTTTGATGCTTGCTTACACAAAATGCACCAGTGAGGGCCTAACAGGAACAAAATTTGTAGTATTATTGATGCTCCACGAGGCTGTCAACCAATGAGAAAGAGAAAAAAGGAATGAAAGGAGGGCAAAAGGATTGTGCAATCAAAGAGGAGAAAAAATATTTGCAAGAGAAAGTCCTCCAGGAATTCGGGATCCAAATACGGACACTCAATAGGAGCGAATTACGAATGTAAGTCCAATCTCCCAAGACTGGGAATCGGAATGGGATCTCCGAAAATGGAAGTTATGAGAAAGACAGAGAGAATCAATGAAAGCATCTTTCCACAGAGAAAAATTATACAAGTAGAAAAGGGGTTAGGAAGAGAGTTGTTGAAAATGAAGATGATTAAGCATAAGTATATATATGTATATGATAAACTACTTCGCTGTTATCTTTTTATTTTCAAAACAATGAATGAGAGGAAAGTTTCTTCACTAAGGCACTAGAACAGGAAGTGGAGATGTTCTTCCTCTGAATCCATATTGTGTTTTTTGCAGTGCCTGTCTTCATAAATGCTGTATGAGCTGAAGTGCACCATAAATTATTATTAGAAGAAGACATTTTAGAATAGATAAACCAGAAGTTGCCTTATCATAATGGCTTTAACCTGTTTTTATGATGCTCTTTATATAAAACAGGCAAAACGACTAAAATGGGTCGACGAAGGCTACGAAATGCACGTCTTTACCGATAGTTTCTGTAATGCAACTCCTAAAGATACTTCAACCATTCAAATGGTATGCAATGCAGATATCTTGGTCGTTGTTGCTGTCATGAGTCAAGATTCAGTCGTATGGATACGAGCAAACTGTGGGAACATCCAAAACATAATTTGCTTTGAATCTTCAACAGAGTTGGTTAACAAATTAGGGGGATTAGCTTATGCTTCCAGTGAAACCAGAGGCAATGTCCTGGGGAACATTTTTGGAAATTCTCAGTTGGAGAAAAGAAAGAAATCTGAGGAAGTAGTGCAGACCGTATTTGAGGCGTGGGATCGTCGTAATTCCGACGATATAAGGTTCTGTTTGTTGGTTATAATCAATGCATATATAAAGCCTGTTCCTATATTGAAGAATCTAAGATCAAAAGGCTTTTCTACTCTGAACTGTATGGTGAAGAATTGTGGAAGGCAAATATTGAATTGCCTCATGGATCCTAATTGTAGGAAAGCTCTTCAATGCTTGAATCAGTGCAGCCCTGTGGATCAGGTATGCAACTACAGGTGCATTGCTTCATATGAAAGCCCAAATCTTGAAGCATTTTCTTTATGTGTGCTGCAAAAGAACAATTGTCTTGATTTGGATGCAAAAGTTCCCGAGAAGCCTTGCGTGCCTCCGATGGCGAGGTTTCGAGGGAACAACCTCTGCCACGAGACTGCAGAGGATCTTTTCGTTGGTTGGTTACGGAGTTTGAACTGGAGTTGGCGCGTCGTGGCTGGCCAAAACCCTGCTTATGATCAATTTCCATGCCAATACCAACTCTTTTACCGGGGCAAAGCGAGAGGATCGTTTTGGTACGAGCCCGTCTTCATGGTAAAAACGTTGGAAGGAACGATGGTGTGGAGACGGCGAAGGTATCGGGTAAAGAGGGGCAGAACTCCAGGTACATTCTTCTTCAGTGTCTTGGATAACGGTGTTGTTTCGAAGGAGTTCTGGAGCATTGTCGACGTATCCGATGATCTTTCTTGGGGCTTGTTTCACTACCACGGCGCTGCTCGAGCTGCAGGACAGTCGTATACGGGCGCGGTTCTTGTTAGTCCAGATGGTGCATACCCTGATAAGGATCATGAAAAAGAGAGAGTTGTTGCTGCTTTGGAGAAATGTGGAATTAAAGAGTGGGAACTTTTCACAGTTGATAACTGCTCATGTAGAGATCCTCCTCTTGGAATTCCAGATGGTTCAAGTTTGCATTCCATAATTGAAGTTGAATAAAAAACACAGATTTTGTGAAGGCTTTGCTATTTGGCAGCAAAATCTGCTGAAGAAATTATTGTGAATATGTGATTTAAAGATGTATAGTGATGGAGGAAAATTCTATGAACTTCTTTACCCTTTTTGGAGTATGGAAAATTTAATAAATTTTAGCATGGTAAATCCTCTTTATAACTTTCCTTAGAAATTTTAAATTAATATTAGTTTTTCCGGATGAATTTTCATCAATGGTTAAATTCGTATGAGAAATCTCCCTTTCAAAAGGAGAATTGTTAAATTTCCTTTAAACGTGTCAAAATTCATAATACAAAAAAAAAAAATTTTAAAAATTCATAATACAACAAATGTTTGGCGTTTAGGGTGTATACTAAATCTGGTGCTAATTGTAGACACCGTATTTGGTTCGGTTTATTTTTAATTTTTATTAAAAAAATAACATAAGTTTACTTTATTATAAGTTTTAATGTAAAGTTTTAATTAAATTAAATTTAACCAAAAAAAATAAATTTTGTTTTAAAAAGAATTTGATTTGATTTGATTTTTTTTACTTTTATTTTATAAATTAGGTTTTTAATTTAAATGATTGCTTTTAATAACAGTTTTTTTTTCCTCTTTGATTTTTTCCAATCAAAGCCACGTATGTGGCCTCTTCTCCCTTTCATTCCCTTCTTTTTCTCCAACTCTCCCTTCTTTTTCTCTAACTCTCTTTTACCCTCTCCATATTACCGTTGCCATCTGTATTTAAGAAAGTCTGGGGGAAACACAAGAGGACACGCAGGGATATAGAGGGACCAGTAGGGATATAGACAGTAAGCATAGAGGAGTGCAGAAAAGAGCAGAACAAAAGAGTTTTCTTTTTTTTTTTCCTCAGTCATCTCTATGCTTCTCCCTTTCTTTTTCACTTATTCTCTCTCTACAAATCACCATTTTCTCCTACGTTGGTAAGCAAGGTGAGTAAATTGTGTTTGTGTTTTTATAATCACTGCTTTCATTGTGATTTCAATTGCTTTTGGAACCTTTTTTCCYATTATTTAAGGTTGTTTTTCATTGTTGATTTTTGAAGGTTTATGATCTGTGTTTTGTTATAAATGGCAGTTTTTKGAGCTAATTTAGAGGTTGTATTTTGTTAAAAATTCCATATTTTGAGTATARATTTTTTTGGCARTTTTTATTTAAGATTGGTAGATTTTTCTTTTGTTCTTTTTTAAATTGGTAGATTTTGAATTTAATTTACCGTTTATGTTTTTTTTTATTTTATAATTAAAATAAAAAGATTGTGTTTAATAGCCGTTAAAATTTTAAAGAGAATAAACCTTTCAAAATCAATGTTTTAAATAAATAGAATTTATTTTAAAATTAATGATTTTTTTTAGGTAAATAAAGAAAGCTTGAAAAGACAAGTTTTCTTTTTTAAATAATTTTTTAAAAAAGTGTAAAAGTAAAAAAAAAAAAAATTCTCTTCCTTCTTCAAGTCTGACTTTTTCTTTTTCTCCTAACATCGAGTTTCTTTTTAATTATCTTCTGCASAGATTTAAAGGGAGGAAATAAAAAATAGGATTTCAAGAAGATCTTTTAGTTTTTATAAATAGTTATCTTTTGAAAAAGAATCTTAACAAAATATCAGTTTTAACAAATAAATTTTGTTTAAAGTAAATTTGACTTTATTTTGAAATAATTTTTT